AATCCGAGCAATTTGAATTGACAGTACCACCGGTTACATCAAATATTGGTAAAGTTCCACCATCACTGACATATCATACAGCTAACCTGGTTGATAATTATATGATTATAGCTTTTGGTAAGTATATTTTTATATTGTTATATAATAATAATTTAAAGTCAAACTATTAATTTGTAATAAACTCTAATTTGTAATAGGCAATATTACACAACCAAAATCTGCACCATTACCTTTCAAGAATCCTAATATTTATATAATGGATATTAGAAATTATACATGGGTTAATTCATTCGAATTAACAAATGTTACAATAAAATCTGAACCATCAACACCAATTCCTTCCATAATTGTTGTTAATTCTAATAGTGAATTAGGTACGATTAAAATTATAATCGCAACAATAGGAGGAACTTTGACTTTAGTTATTATTATTGCATGTGGATTTTTAATTTATAGATGGAATGAAAAAAGGAAAGCATTGCCTCCTAGTCACATTAATGAGGAACATACTTTACCTGGAAATATCGTAGAACATGATATAAGTAGTTATATTCCTACTTATTAATTCATCTTTCTAATGAATTCATTACTTTATTTTTACTATAGTTTTTGTTTATAATAATTTAATTTATATTTAATGATAATTTTTCTTTGTAATTTTTTCTTAGCTAATTTCTCAAATAATATTCACCTAAAAGATCTTGTTATATAAAAGCGGAAAATACATGTTGCTTTAATTTCAAGAAAAACTTCTTAATATTATTAAATTGTTACACTAATTTTTAACTTAGAATTTAATTTAGCTTTAAGTAACTGTTTATTCACATGTTACGGGGGGTAACCCATATGTTTCAACGTTACGTCGCATCTTTGTAAACGAAAACCTTGATGATAAAAATCCGGTTAGGCCGAAAGTACCATTTATAAATATATACGGATATAAAATTCCGTTTAAATCCATTTACGATTTTTACAATTAAATAAATCCGTTCCAATTATTGCGTAGCTGTCCTTCAACTGTGGTCAAATGTCAGCATTTCTACTTGTCGACATCAAGATTGAAGAGATAACTAGCGAAATGTAATCTTATTAACGGAATTAAAGATTATATTTACGGTCGGTTGAAAACCACTGTTTAAATTATTATGAATAAATTAACTGAGCTTGTGGAATAAGTGAGTATATAATTAAAACAATGATCTATTCTTATAGGATTCATGTCAATGTGATAGAATAAGCGCGTACAACGTTATCTTAACTTGACACCCATTATTCATATGATGAGTTAAATTGTTAATCAGAACAACTTGGCATGGTATTCTCGTAAATGACTACCAAATAATTAAGCGTTAAATTTATTCTATTTTATATTTTGAATAAAAGAGAGAAGAAATAAACATAATAAAATCCAAATCATATTAGCCTTATATAAATCTCATCTCTGCAAAATCATTACCAAATCTATCAGTATATAATCTTTTTGCGTTTCTATAAACCCTCAAAAAATATATTTTATCTAATTAATGTATAGATTCATATATATTATAAAATTGCTATTCAATCAATGTTGACATATATTACTGGATATTGTTTTTCGTGAAATGACATTGTAATTGGGATTATGTACTGTACCTTCGGTGAATGCCATTAAAAATATCCAACGGATTCCTAAAATTTTCCACAAATTATTTAAATGGCTAAACGAAACTGTTAACGGTTTGGTTTCTTGTACACGTATATTAGATTTAATAATGGCGACGCTATAACTTTTTAATGTAACGTATTCATATGCATTAAGTCTTTCTATGACATCTAAAAAAAATGTTTTTTTATAATCAAATTAGAACTCACTTCCAGAACTAATCTAAAGGCCAAAAGTTGATAGATATAGCAGAATCCTCAGCTTCATGAGGTGCAGTCGACTCTCTAGTCATTAGATTCGAGTCAAAAAAATTTTACTCAAGTCAAGTAGAGTCAAGAACATTTTTGTCCCCGAGTCAGAATTCGAGTATAGGATTCGAGTGATTGGCTAATAACAAATCACGGGACTATTCGATTTCATAAAAAATTAAATTTTTTAAGTCTGAAATCATTAATATTTATGTGAAAATATTATGTAAAAAGGATCAAATTATCTGTAACAAGAAAAATATATTAAAATTTTTTTTATTAAATTATATTAATGTAAAATACATTTAGATATTATTCTAAATTACAATTCATTATTAGTTATTTGGTTTAAAAATTTAAATCAAATTATACAATAAATTTTAAAATATGAAAGAATAGTTGTACATTATCTATTATTTATTAGAAATAATCCAATCTTCTCTTTTATTTGTGTAAATAAATAAGTCTTAAAAATATAAAATTCCAAATCTCAATCTCTTTTTCTCTCTCTCTAAATATATACATATAAAATAACATATTGCAAAGAAACCCTTATTAGTTAAGATCTGAATTACCTTGCTTTTACCAAATTACTTTAATAGTTTATAAAACAGAAGGTATACTTTAGAAATTTTTTTATCTCAACCTTTGCGAATTTATCCCTGTGGCTGCGAATCCATTAAAGGTAGATCTTTTATATGAGACGATCAATTTTAAAATCAACCAATCAGGTTTAAGCCCGCTATGCTAGTTAACGTTTAGTTCAATTTTTCATGGAACGGCTATCGCCTAATTTGGAAATTTAGCGAAAACATAACTAAAATAACATTATAAATTTTTAATTCAAGTATTGAAATTAAACTTTAAAATTTAAAATTTTAAATAAGGTGTATCATATAATAATTTTAGTACGATTTTCAGTGAATTAAAATTTAAGAAAAAAAAAATTGTTTTTTTGTAATCTATACGATGCCGATATCTTAACAATTAATGCAATATATAATGATCACAATACCGTAACGATTTTATTAAATAAACTAACACATGAATTGTTTGACTTTCAGGAATTTAGTAAATATTATTAATTTTCGACACGAAAAACATCAATTATGTAAATTCGATTATCTATCTTCTGATGGAAAATACTATCAAAAAGGCACATATTTCTTTTTTAAAATAAAGTTTTCACCTGTTAACTCAGGCTATAATTTAATAACACTCTAAGTTCATGTTGTTAGCTCGAGTCAAGAATTCGAGTAGTTAACTCGAGTAAGCATTGAGCTTAGATTCGAATTAATATAATCGAGTTATGCTCGAATACTTACTCGAATCTTGATTCGAGTTAATAAAATATTGAATCGAATCAAAATTTAACTCGAATTGACTAGAGTCACACGAATACGAGTTCAGACTCTACGAAATGTATTTTTTTAAAAAAAAAAA